AACTTTCAGGGGTATATATGCGATTTTTTTCACTCATCTGCAAGCTTGCTCTTCTTGACACTCTCTTTAAAATAGCTCTAACACCGTCTCCTTTACCGTGAGAAGAAGCAAAGAAATGCCATTCGGCTGGTATTCCGAAATCTTATTCATGGCAAAGAAGGTTATCAAAATTACTTTTATTTTTGAAATGTTGCGATGCTCCATCAGAAAAATAAAAGATTTTTCGCGGTGTGAAATTATCTTTCAAAAATTGTGTAATGATTTTTTGGTACTCGTACACAGCAACAGTATCGTGGGTCAAATTATCCGAAATTGTTGCAATACTTTTATGTGTTTCTTTGCCTAGTTCTCTGTAGTAAATAACTACTGTAAAAATAGTGGCTTGGTTGTTATTCCAATGAAAACCTTAAGTGGAATTTTGCACGATAAATGCATAGTTTTCGGCAAAATCCATCTGAACTATGAACTCGTCATCGTTTACTTCTTTTTTCAGAACTTTGATAGCTGGCCGGCTACATAATCATGAGTTTTTAATTTCATAATTTTTTCACACAAAAGATCCACAAACTCATGAGTATTCATGTGTTTGTGGAAGTAGAACGATCGGGTTGCATCCAGCAGTCAAATGTTACTTCGTGCATATCGTTTTCCTCAAAAGAATCGAGTAGATTTTTTCACAAATTATTTGTGTTCGGACAATTTAAACAGTGTCCAAGATAGCAATTTTCAGTTGGATTTTCACACACAATTGATTTAATGCATGGCTTGCATTGCATGCTGCATAGTTACCATATTTAAATTCAATAGTTTTAGGGATTTTAATTAGCATTAAGTCAACATTTTCAGAGTGCACACAAACACAAACGTTGTGCGTACCATTAGCTCCAGATAAAACGCAGTAAGGTGGTCCAAGTTTCGTGAACGCAGTGACACTTATTTTCACATTATCATTTTCATCTATAAATTGTTGGTATAAGTCTTTTAGATCACCTAATAGTAAGCGTTTCTGAATAAGCGATCGCTTGCCATGCTCTGTTTAACTGAGATGACATGTTTGAATCCCGCATTACACGGCTTATGTCATCGGGAACATAAAAATTTTCGACCAACATTTTAGTTTCATCTGTTAGCGAGTGACCAGCTTTTTTAGCTACAGTTCATCTAATGGCTAGCTACTTATGTGTAAAATTTTCTACAATTTAGTATTCATTTATCATCATTTTCCATAAATTAATTTCACTTTGCTATATGTACAAGTAGTTACAAAAAAATTTTATAAAAAATGTACCCCAATCCAGTTCATCTTATAGCTAGGTTTTGGTTGTGACCATGGCAAATTGGCTATCGAACAAAGTGAAACCACATATGCTCCTTTATATGGATGCTCGCTCTTGGATTTCTACGACAGCTAGCTTAGACGTGTTTAAAGCTTTTGTTGAGGGTAAACAAAAGCTGTTTTTAAGTATCTAACTGGACAAAGTACTTTCAAATAGGGTATTAAAAAGGGTTATCATGTGTGTTTTTGAAAAAAAATGCTTTTCACTTCTACAGCCTAGTACTGTAATTGAAAAGTGAAAAATAATTAATCCCCCTGTTAGCCCTTAATTTGTTCAAGAACTGTAACTGCATCTTTTTGAAATTCCATATCCAAATCTAGCTGGTTTATTTTAGTGTACAGTTTTGGCTTGCATTTTTTGCATATTTTTGCCCCATTTGGAACTTGCGGAAATTTTTCTCTGAAAGATAGTGGAAAATTAATAAGATTTTTTCTCTCTCTATGATTGGATAAGTCCAAAGGATTACAGCAGCCGATGATATCAAAGCCCTTATTCATTTTCACAATTTTGTAGATGAGCGATAGAATCACGAGATGGGTAGTAGGCTGTGGTCGAAGACTGTAGAATCGAATAAAGCAAACGTAAAAATCAAGCTAGCTAAGTAGAGTGATCAATGATTCGCTACTTGTGGGTGTAATTTTTTGCCAAAAAGGCCTCTGGTGGGAAAAATGCAAATTAATTCATTCCCGTTTATCGCCCCATGCGAGCGGTCGCCGGGCGCCATAATTGTAACTCACCCGTATGACATTATAATTTAACTAAAAAATAAAATAAAAATATGTTTTTTATGCATTTTTTCTCAGCTTTCTCATAGTGCAGTTCGATTTTTCGATAATTTACATATTCATGAGAAAAAATAGAAAATAAAAGTTTAAGTGAGAAAGCTGAGCAAATTTCGTATAGAAATCACTGGTTGGTTATTTTTTCCAGGTTCGTTTAGCTACTTTTAGAGTGTTACCCTCATACGCATTGCCACACCACTGCGTGCGTCCCCACTCGAGCAACGTGCACAGCTGCGTGCGTCCCCACTCTGGCGACGTACACAGCAGCACTCGTCCCCACCTTTGCACCGATGGCCAATCAGCGCGCACTCGCTTCCTATATAAGCGAGATGCCCGGCCACGCAAAGTGAAGTCGTCTCTCGGCTGCCAGCCAGAGCACATCGACTCTCGTCCTCGCGTTCGCGACGACGAGCTCTTGAGAGTTGCGACCTAGGGACTTCATTCAATAGTGAACTTGGTCTTATTGCAAGAAACATATTCGCCTTGTCATTTCACAACCTTTCTCCACTTTTTACTTTTGCAAGTTTCCGACTTGGCCGCCAGGTGGCGCGGCGCCAGAAAAAAGTCGTATCCGCATGAGAAAAGGTCGAGTTTAGAGTACTAGTATAAGTGCCTTTCGACCTTATTCAATCAGCTTTTGACTGTTCGACTTGTTGCAAGTGAGAATAGAAAAGTGATTGGACTTTTGTCTTCTTAACTTTTGACTGTTCAACTTGTACGAGTGGAAACAGAAAAGTGAGTAAACAGTTGTCAGGCTATTTTTGACTGTTTGACTTTGCAAAAAGTCAAAACAGAAAAGTAGTTGGACTCGTACTCGAGTCTTTTTGTCGCCTCCGATTGTCACGACCCGAAGAGGGAAATCGATCACGGCGCCAATCTAAAGAAAAAAGAGAGGAAGGGCCGTAGTTTTACAACGAGGCCACCCTCTCGTGTCAGGCATCTTGGAACGACGCTGCGTTGTGCGGGCCGTGCCGGCCGGCGAAAATATCGTCAAAACTCGTCAACGAGCCATTGAAAGGGTCAAGACCCTTAGTGGTTTGATTTCACTGCCCGGGACCACCTATACCAGCCGCTCGTGCTCATTGCTGCGCACGTGGCCGTATCTCCCTTTGTCAGTGCCTTGCCCACATCCGTAGAAGAGGACTGTAGCAAGAAGAGAAGCCGACCCTGAGCCAGTGGTCGATCTCACGGCCGCGCCACTTCAATTCACAGCATCTGCTAACCGCACTCTCCCGACGGTCACTGAGCCACGGTCGTCTGATGAGCAAACGTGTCAACGACAACACCAACTGACCAGGGTCACGGTACCACCGGTCCGACCGCCACTGTGGGAAGTGTCGGTAGCGAAGAAGACGACTCAGGACAGAATGTTACGACCCGCCAGCGCTCTTGACGAATACGTTGCCTCTCATCCACAACTACACAAACTATCAAGGCCAGCTATCTCGCTCTGCCCGGCTAAACGTGCTCCTAAGCCAAAAGCTGAGCCACGCTCTCCTCGCAATTCTTATTCCTCACCCGCCAGGAGACCCTCGGCTAGAAGAGAAGCAGAGTTGAGAAGAGAGCGGAGAAGGCGCTTCTAGGCGACTACAACAGACAATCGGTCCTTTTCAGGGCCACACAAAAGTCTTTTAACGTAGTCTCTTTCTAAGATCCTCGTCATCAGAACGTGGGTCAGCGAACGGTCATCCCTTGACCACTCTGACCATCAGCCTAGCTTGGCATCCGTCCTTCTCAGGACTTTTCATCTACGACAACGTGACATTGTACAACAAGAGGCAAGGTATCATTCATACACATGAAACTTGTACACGGGCATTTCTGTACGGTCTGTTCTGTACGTCAGTAAAATGTGTCTAATATTTGTACACATAATCGAACTTTTTTTTAAATTCAAAACATTACGAATACGATTATTTTTTTTAAATTTTTTGAATTTAAAAAAAAGTTCGATTATGTGCACAAATATTGGACACATTTTACTTGTGTACAGAAATGCCTGTGTACAAGTTTCATGTGTACGAATGATACCTTGCCCTTTTAGAGCGAGTTAGAAATTGAGCAATTTCGCTCAAAAACGCTAGGAGTTTAGAGAAATTTCGCCCCGCTTACATGGTTTTTTTTTAAGATGCGCCATTTTGTTGTCCATCATGCTGAATTTTTATATTGTAATTATTGGATTTTTACATCTACACCCCATGGACGCAAAAAATATGTGTTAGTCCCACGGATCAAGTCTCTTTTGATTCGAAAATTTAGGTCAAATCAAAATTTTTTGCAAAAAAATCGTGTTTTTTGTTGTTTAATTGTTCTTAACTTTTGCTCCTCAAATTTTTTGACAATTCTGACACCGGATTCGAAAAGTTCATAAAATTTCACGTCAGAAATGACTATTTAAACATTTTTCAGATATTTTTTTCACAAAGTTTATAGCACCGGAAAAAATATGGGAAATTTCGTCAGTTTGGCCTTAAACGGGTTAAGCTGCGATCACTGCATTCGCATGTCACGATATTGAAGGGAAAGAAACGTTTCTATCACCCACCGGACTCTAATGTAACAGTGTAACCCGTAACACACCACCGTGTTACAAAACATTCATAAAAATTTATAAACTTTTATAAACTTATAATAACTTCTATGAACTTTTATTAACTTTTATTAGAATCTCAAATTAGAATGTTTATATCAATTAATAAAAGTTGAAAAAAATTACTAGAAGTTTATGAAAGATTTTACAAGTTAATAACATTTTATAGCAAAAGATAATTTCCGTTAGGGGACATATCCAGCAATCACAAACTATTTTTATTCTATATTTTCGTAAAAAATGTTATTTTTTTAGATGCTCTATGATTTATTCATTAAATTTTTATTACAGTTATTCAGATGCTTTAAATATATTGTCAAAAACTGACCTTGACGTGAAGAGCATGATAACGCACCGTTTTAAGCTTCATGAAACCATTCAGGCATTTGAAGAAGCCAAATCAAGAAATAATAATACCGTTAAGGTAATGATATATTGTGACTAAAGTGCATATATTATGTTATATAAATTCGATTATAATTGGTTTATTAATAATGTTATGAGAATAAACAAAATGGTTTGGTTAATGGGTAATTTATCGTACTTTATTTTTAAATCCTGTATTTACAATTATATGAAATTTGTGAGGATTTTTGATCGGGCCGAATAAATAAAATAGAAAAAATTAGTTCATAATCGAAATATCATTAAGATATTGTTTGGTGTTAAAAAATAAATATTCCATCAGTAAATATAAATTATCGGGGCCCCACTGCATGTAAAGCATGCAGATTCTCTATCGAGATTTTCTCAGGGGCGCGAGTTTCAACAATCAATGAACATTAAGAGTGGATTTCGCGCTAAACAACATGTGATGATTCGATAGTGTATGTGTGGCGGCTCTGTTCATGTGGCGCGTCATTCTAATAATCATTTTCAATTGTTATTTTTATTAATTAATCAAAAATGTATGTTGGTAAGTCAGTCGAGTCTCAAACGTCGAAGAGCTCAGGTCAATAAATAAAACCAACCAAGCTCAAATAACCGTCTAAATTATTTATAGTATTAAGCCGCTTCATTTGGTGACCCCAACGTGATACTTTCATCATGGTTTTTCCACGCGATGACGATAAACGACGAGAGCCTCAAAATCCTGTGGATAACATTGGTCTCGAAGCAGCGCAACAACAACAAGCTGACTTAATGCGTCAACAGCAAGCTGTTGCCGCCGCGGCCGTCCAACGGTACGTCCAATGTGTTGCCGTAAAACTTCGTATGGTTGGATAAACCAGCCATGTGGTTCGCGCAAGCTGAGGTCAAATTCGCCTTGGCTGGTGTCACCGTCGAGCTAACGAAATATTATCACGTTAACTCGCAATTGGACATTCGTGCGACGTCAGAAGTGGAGGACATAATTAGCAGCCCTCCAGGAGAGTTGCCTTACACGAACTTGCGACAGCGGCTGATCGAACGACTTTCAACATCTGAGGAGCATCGTATTCGTCAATTACTCGGCGATCGCAAGACTTCGCAATTTCTACGGCATCTCAAGTTGATTGCTGCCCCTGTTGTTGTGCAGCCAAATCTAGTGCGTCATCTGTGGTTACGACGTCTACCTACGCATGTGCACTCGAACAGCTTTCTGACCTGGCGGACAAAATCATCAAGATTCCCCCTGTGAGCAAGTACCTGCACCTAGTGACTCTCTAGCAACTCTCATTAGTGAGCTTACCTTCGAGGTTAGTGCGCTACGTACTCGTCGCCGTGAACGATCACCAGATCAGCGCAGCCGTGGCGAATTTGCCAGTTCTCGCAGATCATCAGATTTGTGCTGGTATCATTATCGTTTTGGAGATGAAGCGAAGAAGTGCATACCATTTTGCAAGGGAAACTCCAACGGGAGTCAGTAACCGCGGCCGACTGCTCGGGGATTCATAGTCGCTTATTCGTCACCGACAACGACATGAAGAAAAATTTTTTGGTGGGCACAGGCTCGGATTTATGCTGCTTCCCAAAGCGTTTTACCCGTGATCGTCGTGTTGCTACTGATTTTCAGCTTTGCGCTGACAACAACAGCCTCATCAAGGCTTATGGCTACCTGAATTTAAAACTTAATTTCGGTCGGAGTAGGAATTTTCCGTGGAAATTCATTGTTGCCGACGTTTCGACTCCGATTTTGGGTTCAGATTTTCTTGCGCATTTTCATCTGCTACCAGATTGCCGAAACAAACAATTGATCTATTCTGTTATCGGTGTCAACGTGCCAGCGTCTCTCCACCATTCGTCGAAACTCAGCGTTAAACTGATCGAGGTCAATTCAGAGTATTCTGATATCATTTTCATATCATTGGTGAGCACGGGGAGTTCACCGTCACACCGTTATCATTTTTTTCAAAAAAAAATGTCGATAAACGAATGCATGTGGCCCGCATATTACCGTGAACTCTTGGCCGTTTACGAGGCTGTTCAATATTTTTGTCACGTTCTAGAGGGATACTTATTCAAAATTTTCAATGATCATTAACCTCTCATAAAAAAGGAGGGAGCTTTTTCTCTTAAAAAAGAAAAGCTCCCTCCGATACTATTGAATCAGCTGTCGTTCATTTCCCAATTTACAACTGGTATCTAATACATCGAAGGATCAAAAAATGTCGTGGCAGACGCTATCTCTCGAATCGAAGCGTTGTCTTTTGATCATTCATCATTAAATTTTGAGGATCTTGCTGATTCGCAAATTAACGTTGAAACATGGCGTTTCTTTCTTGACAATGCTGATTTACCACTCAAATTAAATTTAATCAAGCTTCCTGGATCAATGAAATCTATTTATTGCGATGTGTCAACAGGAAAACCATGTGAGTTCCCGTTGGTCCGCTGTCTCTCTTCCTTGGTGGTATTTGAACAAGTGACTCGACTTTTCCAATCAAAATAAACAAACAAAGAAAATAAAAAAAAAGGAATATTTAAATATTGGAAACTAAATTTACTCTACAGGCAGACTCTACACCGCGTCCTGAAAAGAGGAGAAGGTTGTGTGATTCACAACACATAGAGTTTGTGTAACTCGATAACGATAATTTATTTACAATAATATTATGTACAATATTTACAAGTTTTATATCGCAACACTAACACAAGTGAGCCGCTATACGCGCGAACGCGAATAAGAATTTCTTATAGCTTTAACCAGCCTCGACGATATCTGCTCGGTATAAGTTGCTAGATCGTCGCCGAGAGCTGCTACTTGCTTTATAGTTGCAAGGCTTAGAGCTTTATGAGTTGCTCCGTGAGTTGCCAACCGAAGGCTTCTGATTCTTCGTAGCTCGAGCTGGCTCTTTTATAGGGCCGATCTCGCGCCAAAATCTTCCTACCCCAAACGACCATCAGCTGATCTGTCAAAGAAGGGATACAATCAGCTGACTGGTTGTCAAGGCAGGGATATAACAGCTGATTAGCTGTCATAGTAGAGGTACAATAGTTGATTGTGATGGTAAGACATCAGCTGTTCTTCGTCGGTGCTCGTAGTGTCACATTGTCCCTTATTTGCAAGTAAGGGAAAAAATATAAAGAAAATTTTACATTACAACAATGTTTATAATTCGGTGACTCTATACAAAAAAAAATATATGTATACATATATAGTTTTTTCCGCGGTTGCAAATAAACCCCCAAAAAAAACTAAAGTTATTATAAAAAAGAAAAAAAAACTATTACAATTTATGCTTTTGAATTATTATAAAGAAAAGAGAAAAAAATATGTGCCTTTCATTTATCACTGCTCTCGCCGCATGACCCCACAAATTTCCTCGCCAATTTCTCGCCTAAATAAAACAATAATAAAGACAAAAATATATATACATTAAATAATACAAACGCTCCTTCTCAGTCTTCATCCAATTCTTCTTACCACATGGCTTCAAACTCTTCACTCAACTGCTTCTTAAACGCTGCCGAACGAAGTCCCTTTTTCGGAGGCATGTAATCCTCAGGAAACACGAAAAAAAACTCGTCATCACTTGAATCCCATGGACTCGGCGAATAGACCTGAGGACCCATCAATGGCATCAGCTCCTCTCTTCGGACCTGGATTGCTACCTCAGACGTGGATGGCCTCTCCGTCTGGGTCGCTTTACCCTTGGGCATTCTCTTTCCTCGGCACCTCTTCCCAATACGCCTCGGCTTCGTACCAACGATGAGGCCACGAGGACCAGGCGGTAAAGGTGGCCTATCAATCACCACCGCTCTCTGTGCCAACTCGGCCGGACCTTGGGCCTGGACCACGACGTCGTGTGCCTGTGTATTTGTTGCCTTGCTGACTTTCATTGTCACGCGTTGCGATCTAATATAAGACTAATAACTACACAGACACTTCTGCCTCTTATATAGGTGTCAGATTTGTTGATACTTTTTGCCTATAGCGGATTAGGTCATTGACATGAAATTGGCCTTTGACCCGAGAGTTGGAATCTTCCAGAATGTAGGTATTTTCTCCAAGTATACTTTTAATGATGTATGGACCTTCGTATATTTGCATAAATTTTGCGAGTATTTTATTCTCCTGATCTGACGTGTTCTTACACTTGATCAAAACTTTATCGCCCACCAAGAATTTGTCGCAATTTCCACGTTTTTCATTTACTTTATCTGCCCTTCTCGATCTTTTATTCTTAATTCGATCGTAAGCTAGTTGATACTTTCGTTCTACCGGAATAGCGTCATTAATCGGTGGTACTCCGAGCAATCTATCCCATATGCGCTCTGGTTTCTTGTTGAGGTGAAGTTCGAGCGGAGTGAATTCAGTGGTTTCGTGGTGTGTCTCGTTCATAATATCTTGAATCGTTTTTATATATGGTTCCCATGCTGTGTGCTTATCTTTTATAAACATTCTTAAAAAAGTCACTAATGTTTTATTCACTCTCTCACAAATTCCATTAGAGCTTGAATGTCTTATAGACGAAAAAGTTAACTTGATATTTTCCGCGCTCATAGCGGTTTTAAAACTTTTTGAAGTAAACTGACTACCGTGATCACAGCACACAACATGAGGTTTTCCATAACGCTGAAAATAATCATTTTTTAACATCTTAATTACAAACGACGTAGTTTGTTTTCTACATGGATATAGTACAACGAACTTCGAGAACGCATCAATCGTTACCAAAAAATTTCGCATGCCATAACGTGACGGAGTCAATGGCCCAAGGAAATCAATACACAACAGCTCGCTCGGCTTACATGTTAATATGATCTGTTGTTTGGCCACATTCGGACGAGTGCAGTGTTTGTTTACCTGACACAAATCACAGCTTGCCACTATCTGTGACAGCCTGTGTTTCATGTTTTTGATGAAAAAACGTTCACTAAGAAGCTTCGCTAATTTCTTTGAGCCCAAATGGCCGTACGCTAAGTGCGTCTCAGTTATTAATTCCTCTATGCAACTTAGAGGTATAACAATTTTATTTGCATTTGCTTGCTTTTTACACAACAAACCATTCTGTAAAACAAATTTATTTTTTATTCCTTCGTCATTTGCTTCTAACAAATCAACAATATTTTTCAAACGAGGCTCTAATCTCTGTTCGCTAGCGAGAGTC